GGGAGCACGCCGCTAGTGTGAAGCTTAAGCGCCAGCAGGTCCCTCCGGTGCCACACGTACTTGGCAACCTGGGGACAGGCACATTGTCACCTCCCCATCCCCTCAGCCAACCCCAGGGCTGCTCTATCCCCCCTCTCCCCACAATATTCCATCCCCCAAATGGCTTTGTAAGGTCACAGTGGGGTGTCCCCCCTCCCAAAGCGATGTCCCTGTCACCTTGCCAGGGGGCTTGGCATCATACCACGCCTGGACGAGGTCCCTGCGGTCCAGGCGGGTGCCCCGGTGCTTGTCCTCATGGGGATATTCCACATCACTAGCATTTTTGGGGAACATGTACTTCCTCCCCCCGCCCAGGATCACCTGCAGAAAAAGGGGAAAAAGCATTTTTCAAGTCGTTTTGTCATTATTTTTCATGCTTCTCTCCCAATTGGGGTTTAACGGGGGAAAACCCCAAGGAGGCAGCGCAGGATATCCAGGAAAACCCCGGCAACACATGGAAAAAACACACAAGGAATCTGACCCTGCTCAAAATAACCCGGAATCTCTTCCTATTAATTAAAACCAGGCCAAAAATACCCATCTCCAGCAGCAAACTTGGCTTTTCCATGAGTTTTTGCTCTCCCCATCGGTGGGAGGGATGCTCCACAGTGGGATCCCCGCATGAACCCTCTGGGATGGAGCCTCATCCCGTGGCTCCCGCTGTTTGCTTTGGAGCCTGATTTATTTGGCCTCTGTTATTTATAACCAAGCAGAGATTTTAGGTCTTTTCTTTCATCCCCCCACTTTCTCCATGCAGAAGGTGAATTATAAAGCTGCAAAACACCAGCGCCAAAGTTATTAAGCCAAAAAAAAAGGGACAAAAAAAGTCTTTTCCCCACTATATAATTATTTCCAGCCTGGGACAGAGTTAAATTTATATTAAAGGGAAAAAAACAGGAGAAGAGGCTATTAAAGAGCGAAATAACAGGCTGAGATGTTTGGCTTTGGGGCTGGTTTGAAGGACACACAGTATTTATTTACAGGCTGCATTTCTGTGTGGATCCGCAGCGAGGGGCAGAACCAGGGGGAAATGGAGGGTTTGGGGTATGGGAAGGATGAGAATGGAGAGAGCTGATGTGGGACAGGTCTGGGGTGACTCCTGGTCCCAGCCCTGCATCTGATGAGGTCTGGTCACATATACACCCAACGTGCTGAAAGCCCACCCATGGGTGGTCCTGGTCCCACATCTGCTGAGGGTTTTGGTTCTCCACCCATGGGTGGTCTAGTCCCACACTGGATGTGGATCCTGGCTTTTCACCCATGGGTGGTCCAGGTCCCATATTGACTTGGGGTTCTGGTTCTCTACTCATGGTTTGTCCTGGTTCCACATGTACTGTGGATCCTGGCTTTTCACCCATGGGTGGTCCTGGTCCCACATCTGCTGGGGGTTCTGGTTCTGCACCCATGGGTGGTCCTGGTGCCGCATCTGTTGGGGGTTCTAGCTCTTCACCCACTGGTGGTCCCAGCCCAGCATCTTCTGGGGGTCCCAACTCTGCACCCATTGGTGTTGTCAGCCTCACCTCTACTGGAGTGGTCCTATCCTTGCACCCACTTTGTCCTGGCTCTTCACCCACCAGTGGTTCCAGCCCAACATCTCCTGAGGGTCCCATCCCTTCACTCACTGGGAGTCCTGGTCCCATGTATACCCCAGCCCTGGGCCGCTCCAACCCTCACCCCTGTGTGGTCCCATCCCACATCTCTGGTGGCCCTGTCCCCATCCCTACCTCGATGTCAGGGATGTTCTCCACCAGCTGCCGGGCAATGTCCCTGCAGCCGCCCTCCAGCGCGTCCGGGGGCATCTCCCCATCCGAGTACCAGTCACGGTTGGCAGAGTGGGCATAGGCAGCGCTGGGCGTCGCGTGGGTCACCCGCGTGGTGGTGACGATGCCCACGGCCTTGCCTGCACCACAAGGTCAGGGGTGATGGTGGGAACACCCCCAAACCCCAATGCTTTACCCCCACCCAGCCCCTCACCTGCATCCTTGGCCCAGCGGAGGATGGAGGTCACCTCCTGGCCCTTGGTGGTGTTGCAGCGGTCGCGGGTGA